TAAAAATTACTAATACAGTGTGCTTGAATTAGAAAAATTAAGATTCTAAATAAATTGCTAGAGAATTTCACAATGGTGGGAGGGGTCAATGGAAATTTTGCTTTACATACAATCTGATCATTAACAGACTAGTAAATCTTAATTGGAATGGTAAGGCAAAAATAGTAAAACCACACTTTTGCTATAAAAAGTTACACACCATCTTCTGCAGGAAGAGTTATCCTACGGGGGAAATAGAGATGCGCTCGTGCGCCTGCCCACCCAGAGCATCAGCGAGCACGGCCCCGGGCAGCGGGCACCGAGCAACCTGGTCGTCTCCTTCCTCACCGTCATCCTCAGCTTCTCGTTTTCTCTTCTCCTCCCGGAGACTTTCTTCTTCCTCTTCCTCCTCTTTTCCTTCTTCAACATAGTCACCATCATCGTCTTCATCCTGAATTTCTTCTTTCATCAAGTATGACAGGCCTACTTCTTCTCCCTCCCCCAGTTCCGAGCCAGCCTCTTCTTCCTCCTCCTCGTCTTCGTCTTCCTCCTCTTCCTCTTCACCCCACTCAGGGAGACCAGCTTCATCTTCCTCATCTTCTTCTCCATCTTCATCCTCCTCTTCTGAGTCCGGTGCTTCATTATCTTCCTGATCATATCCATCCAAGTATGTGATTCGCTGCAGCAGTTCAAAAATACTTTCTCGGTGATCTTCCAGGTTTGTGATCTCACAGTTAAACAAATCCAGACTTTTCAAACTTTTAAGATTTTGCAGAGCTTCTACTGTACTCAGATCTTTGATTTTGTTTCCACTCAGATTGAGGTAGGTAAGATTTGGGCATTTCTCTGCTAAAACTTCCAAGCCTCCAGAAATTGCATTGTCAGGAAGTTCCAACTTCCGAAGTTTATTTAGGCTGGGAAGCTGGGCCAGCGAACGTATGCCACGCTAGCCACACTCAGAAATTCTAGTTCTTTAAAAGTGTCGTTCAGGCCCTCAGTTTCCCCATTGACACACAGGCAATTATCAAGAACCAATTCTGTCACCTTCTCTGGGGCTCTGTTTCTTAACTCCAGGTTAATCTTCTTCTTCATCTCCATGTCCTCCTCCTGCTCTTCTGCCACTACTCTCCTTCCTTCTCCTTTCCTGCTCTTCCCACTACCCCCAAACCGAAAATCTTAGAAAATTTGGAAATGAATGAAAAGAATCACAAAGATAAAAGCCCACTATCACCAGATAGGAGTGGGGGAGAAAGAAAAGAATAGCAAATGGAGTCCAGGGAGTTGGGACTCTTAACTTGTCTGCCCCCACCTCCTTGTCCACACACCAGCGCACACTCACGCACGCACGCACGCACACACACACACACCCACACCCGCAGTTCCTTCCCCTTCAATGGCTGCTCAGAAACTAATATGGCCATTTTGAACAGTGTTAATTTTGCCCATCCATGAACAGGAAAGCTCTAATGTCTTCTTCAAATTCTTCCCTCTTCTCCAGTTTTTACTGGAGAAATCTTTCATGGCTGGAAGTACAAATGATACCAATAGTTATATGAAAAAAATGTTCCACATATTTAGCTACCAGGGAACTAAACTTCAAAGCTACATTGAGATTCCATGTCACTTCATTCAGAATGGCTAACCAGTAAGTTCTAATGAGGGTGTAGGAAGAAGGAATCCTTATGCACTGTTTGTGGGAAGGTAAATTAGTGCAGCCATTATGGAAATCAGTATGTATGTTCCTTGCAAAACGAAAATGAGGTCCATGTATGGCCCAGCAGTAGCATTCTTGGAAATATACTCAAAGGAGTTAAAATTAGTGTACAATAGACAGATCTGAGTGTGCATATTCATTGCAATGCAATTTACAACAGCCGTATTACAGAGTTAAACTATGTGCCCATCAACAAATGGATGGATACAGAAAATGCTATATATACAATAGAATAATATTCCCCTATAAGGAAGAAGAAACTTGGTGTGTTGGCATACATCTGTTAAAAAAACTCAGTGACTTGGTGAGTTTACCTGTTACTTTGCATAATTAATATGCACTAATAAAAATAAAGCATTATAACAGCAGATGGTAATTAAAAATTGTTCTTCTTTAGCAGCTTGTAAATTTGAGAACTTTCCATAAGTTTCTAATTAAAATAAGTGATTCTGGTCTCTAAGCCTGAGTCTGAGAGCTGCTGCAGCAGACACTGCAGCTGCTGAGGTGATCCAGTTACGCGGTGTGACAGATTCACACTGTATAGGTGATTTCCTCAGTATTGTGGAGAATGAATTTGGGGAGATAAAAGGGCTGAGGCAGGAAGACCATTTATGAGGTCAATACTCTAATCTACTTGAGAGTTGAAGAAGCCTTGACCTTGGCCAGGGGCAGTGCGGATTATGGGGAAGAGCAGACAGTTTTAAAAATATATTTATATGACAACATCAGTAGGAGCTGGTGATTGGATACAGGAATGAGGGAGAGTGCGGAATATCATCATTCTCCATCATACCACATTACAGGGGAAGAGTGAATTTCTTCACATTCGTCCACTGAGTTCCCTTGAGGGAAACATAGTTATTTCCTCCCATTTGTCTCTGTCAAGTACAATTGGAAAAAGATGATACACAGCAGCACTGTCACCCTCCTGTGAGACTGGTTGCTTTCAAGGTCAAATCGTTTTGGAAAACATTTGTCTGGTGCCAGTCTTAAGTTTGATGTGAACAGAAATTCTTTGAAACAAAGTGGTATTGGGGAGGAAGGGTTAGGCGAAGACGGGATTCCAAAGCCTTGCGAAGAGCTCCCACTGATGGGGGTGAGGTAGGTGCCTGAGCTCACCCTGATTCTTCATGTGGTTGATGCAAACACTAATCAGGCCTTCCTCCTCCTGGCCTCTACATTTCTAACTCCTTAATTACTAACAGGAAAGTAAAAGTAGCAGCCAGCTTCTGCCAAGGGAAAAGTTCAGGACCTTGTTTGCAAGAGCAGAAATGAGCCTTTTGTTAACTGAGAGGAAACTGATTTCACTGTATATTTGCATGGAACAATGTGTAAAATTACATTACTTTTATTATTGAAGCACCAACCACACCCTAAGGGGTGGTTGAGTGCTCTCCAGATGAAAAGATTTCTTGTATATACACGTGGTGAATTTGTGGAGGAATTAGAGTTTCAACAGCAGATTTTCTGAAAAGAAATCATGCTGGCAGAAGATGAAATTACAAGTTAACATGCTGAAGCCTCTGTATTAGGAGCTGACACTAGATGTAGCAGAGTCCTCAGAGGACTGCTGGGAAAAGACTTGCAATACAAAACAATATAAGGCTACCTCCCCCGAGGATTGACTGTACTTGACCCTGGGAGGAAAGTATGTTTGAAATGTGGGAGATACTCTGAAATGAACTGGAATTTTGGAGGGCTGTATCACGTGGGACCCAGCAGGAAATTCACTTTGGTAGGAACATAGCTTGGATATGAGCTTAAGAAGGAGCTGCTCAAATGACCTTGTTCTTAAGTGAATGGAATGCTTTCAATTCAGCCATCAGTAGTTAAACTGAAATATCTTAAACAATAATGCTTCACAGTTGACATTTAAGAAGCAGGGAGGCAGAAACATGTTCTATCATTTTTTTCCTTCCAAATAATTATGCACTTTTTGTTTTTGGTGTGGCATATACTTTATTTATTTATTTCCATAATTTTATTGAGAGACATATAGCAATGAGACAGTTTCAAACCAAATTGGTAGGTCAGTTTCAATAATTAACACATTGCATACTCCCTTCCTAGTGGTTATTTGCTGTACAAGATGAGGACATGATATCCTATTTACAAACACTATTAGAACAAATCCCTCTATTCATTAAGAGAATGTAGCTATATATCTATCCTAACCATTTTGAATACACAGATCCAAAATGGACATTCATCTGTATCCCCTTTTTTGTTTAGTTCCGTCATTTGAATACTATAGGTGTGTGAACTCAGCAAAATATTCCAAAAGAGTTCAGTAGTCCATAATAGTATTGGGTCTTCCACTTCACTGGCAGTGTCAGAAATAGTTGACCTGAGTCCCCTACAGCTCAACATAACAGCATGGCTTTCTTTCTTATACTTTTCTGCTAGATGTTTAAGACTAAGAAAAAGCAAGACCTATGCAACAAGAGTTGTAGCTTTTGGATCTGATAAGGTCAGTCAAATCCCCTCAGGATTTATCTTTTTTTTTTTTTTTTTTTTTTTTGCAGAACTAGGGCTTGAACTCAGGCCCTTGTGCTTGCCAGGCAAGCACTTATTCTACTGAGCCATCTTCCTGGCTCCCTCTTCTATCATCTTAAAGTACTTTATAAAACCATTCTGAGGTAATGGGGAGTAAGTGACTTTCAGTTACATTCACTTTAAAGTAAATAGTGTATTTAAAGAGAATTAATTGATAAAATTTCATGACATGTGTCTCAGTTACTCTTCTGTCATTTCTGGGACAAATACCTCAAACTCAAAATTAAAGAAGGAAAGGCTTATTTAGCTCACAGTTACTGGTGGCTTCAGTGCACACTCAGCTGGCTCCAAGGCAGAGCAGCACACAGCAGAGAGCAGCCTTTCATGGGGTGGGGGCAAAGAGCAGAGAGCAAAGGGAGTGGCAGCAGCTCAGGCTGCTAGCCAGCCTCTCTCCCTCTCTCCCCTCCTTCCATTGTAATGCAAATTACCAGTCCCAGGGCAGGTACAGCATCCACATCCACAATAATCGATCACAAACTCCAGAAGCTGTCCCATGATTGCATGAGGCTTGTGGGGGAGGGGACTCCTATACACAAGCCATAACAACATACAAAATTCATCAGGGACATATTAAATGTCTATCTATCTGTCTATCTATCTATCTATCTATCTATCTATCTATCTATCTATCTATGACAATTAAGGAGTTATAAATGTAGAAGAGGTGAGGGTAAGAAATTATTAGCATTTGCATTGATCTTATCTATCTATGATCTACCTATCTGTCCCCTATCTTTTGCGACAGATTCTATGCTGTGCATGAGATGGACATTTTCTGTTGTCTAGGCAGCATCTGTCCTGCCCTTTCTTAGAACACAAATGTCTCTTTGAGAAACTAATATCCTCTGATTGTGTAGAAGCTCTGGGGTTTTAATATAATTGACCCCATTTCTAGCTACTTATCCCTTGTAGGCCATCGCATCTTCTATTGTGCAAGGATGGTTTGAGGAATCCCAGGGGTAAGCCAATTGGTGCATGATATTACCTCAACTACAAGAGTGGTCTAGGCTCTGTGAAGCTGAGGATGTATGTCCTGAGATATGGCTATCCTCTTCTAGATGTGAAAAGGGAGGAATGGAGTCCTAGCTACTGCCAGCAGCTGTCTTGACATTACAAGAGCTGCCAGCTTGAAGACCAAGCCAGTATGTGGAAGAGAACTACAGGATCAAGCCAGATCCACCACCACCCCCACTATGGACTTTCCAACTGCACAATGGAATAAATCCTCCTCACTGTTTGCTCATTTGCTTGTGTGATTGATTGGCTGCTGGTATATGAGGATGAAAGATAATATACAGGTTGTGTCTATGTCTCTATAGTAAGACAGAATTATTAACTTTGGTTCTCCATCCTTAAGATTAATTGCATAATGACTAGCTTTGCATCCCCACTTCTTTCTTACAGTCAATATTAAATGAAAAAACCTTTAAAGTGTGTTGATATTTGTACTCTGAAGAATCTGACATTCAGCCTTAGGGTAAAAATATCTAGAGAGGGAATAATTGGGTCAATTGGAATTTCTGGTTTCAGTTCTTTAAGAAGTCTCCATACTTCGAAGGGGGTCATATTGATTCTGTAGATAATTTTGGGTAGAATAGTCATTTTTTAAAAATTAATTCTCCCAATCCATCAACACAGAAGTCTTTTCACTGCTTGTGACTTCTTAAATTTCTGACATCAGTGTTTTTTAATTTTCACTGTAGAGAATTTTACTCCTTCATTAAAAAAAATCCAAATTAAATACTTTCTTTCTTTCTTTCTTTCTTTCTTTCTTTCTTTCTTTCTTTCTTTTTTATTTCTCTTTCTATCCTTTTATTAAGACTTCCAATATATGATGAATAAGAGTAGTAGCGAAAATAGAAACCTTTGTCTTGTGTTAAATCTTAGACAAAATCCTTTTCTATTTTCTCCATTTAGCAGGATATTACTTGTGGGTTTTCAT